AACTTGCGAAGATATAAGTTAAAATCGGAACACTTACTATACCTTATACAAGGAGTTCCAATAATTTGAATTTTATATTTTCAGCTATTTTCATAACAGCTTCATGGTGTTGCCACATTTTAATGCTAAATAATTACCACATTAGACGACACGTAAAATATATAAATATATAATAAGAAAGAGTGCCCTGTCATAGTACTATATAAACTATTTGCAAGTAACTTATTAACCCGTGTCTATGACAAATCATCAAGAAAATACTCGAAAGTTAATTACAACTAAATTTTGCTATGTTTCCATTCACATTGTAGTGTTTAATTAAATAAACATATAAAATAAATTAATGGAAAACATTTTTTACTCTTGAATACCCACAAAAAATATAATAAATCAAAATATATAAACAAAAAGATAAAGTCAAGATAAAACAAAACTGAAAACTCAACCCTTTAAAACTTAAAATCCAACACAATAAACCGTCTGAAAGGACAATTAAAATGCAATGATGATTAAATTTTATTGCTTCATTTTGTGGAGATGAACAAATTTTCTGATGCTTCCATTTGCATTTGTTGAAGGATTGAAATTATTTTTATAGAATTTTTTATTTCTTCATTTTAGAATTGAATCAATGGTACAACCGCAGCAATTACCTTAATCAAAATGCAATTGAGGATTTTACGAATTCAAGTGGTGCACATTCCGATCGTTACGGGCAGGACTTCAGTTTGTTTAGTCAATATGCCAATAATAAAACTTTTGTAAATTCCTTACAAAAACTTGTGGCAAAGGATGAAAATAATTACACAGAACCACGTTATTATTTGGGTAAGTCATTTAATTATCTCATCTTTTCGTAATTATATTTGAGCACATTTAAAACTAATATAATAATTATGTTATAAATGAATTGATTTTATTTATGTACTTCGTAAATTAAAGTGATTTTATGTATAAGATTTATATCTTGAATTAACTAACACAAATAATTATATTTTTTTTAGGTGACTTGATACCAGGCACGTATTGTTCACGAATTTTTAGTGACTGTGACAAAAAATCTTGCCGTTTGCAGTCTCCCAATTATCCTGGTATCTATCCAAGGAATCTAACATGTTACTTTGCAGTCAGACAGGTATTGTAGTTTTTAAAAAAGCAAAAGTATTTATTTAAGTGAAGTATTAAAGTATATGGAGCAGTCATAAAAATAGGCTCCATTTATAAAGACATGCAATAGAAAAACTGGACAAGAGTATGTAATTTATACATAATTATATCTTTCATTATAACTATATATCCCTTTCAATTGGTAAAAAATACCGAAAATTCTTATTTTTATTTTGTTTAAGAAATAGGTAGCACTAAGGAAATTTTTTTGTTCCATTAACCCACTTTTCTTTAAGAAACATTTACTTCGTATGCGCAATCATGGTTATCCCGACTATTTTTTTTCTACAGGATGATTTTAAGAGATCTCATAGAAATCCACCAATTGAGAGTAAGTAGCGAAATCGTAGAAAGGAGATCTAATATTGAAATGTTTATATATTTATTTGAAGATAGTTTTTCGAAAGACCAAAATATACATCGCTTATAATAAGAACTAAATACTAATCCTTTAAAAATTCGATTTTTTAAATTTAACCTGTTAATATCAGAAGAAAAATGGGTACAAGCAGTGTCAAATTACTCTAAAACTATTTTAAAATCTAAAAAGGGAAAGAGGACTTCAATTTAAACTTCATTTAAAGTCATTACATTATTTTTATTCAACAAACAATTTATATTAAATATATTGCATATATACTTTCAATTAAGCACATAAAACACTTTATAGAAATCTATAAAAAATATTAGAAATATTATATTAAATGAATTTAACAGATTTCTTGATAATAACAAAAGAAAAACATACACAATAATATAATCAATATTAAACTTTACGAAATCAAAATTCTACTTGGTGTTATCGTATTAGGTTAATTAGAAGTTCCTTGCCAACAACAAAATTCCTCATTAGTTATGTACTTATTCCTACTACCTTTTTTTGTTGCCATATATGGGTCATTCTTTTACAAATCAAACACTTTCCGACCTCATCATCACCGACCTCACCCGACTGAAATTTTTTGTACGGGTTCTTTTTATAAAGTAAGAAGAACCGTATCTCAGAAAAACATTTACGAATTTTTTTCCTTAGAGATATGAACCCATGGGCTTTTGAAAATTGGCATTGTAGACACATTTTTAAAAGCCCATATCTCAGGCTTAGCCTTCGCAAAACACATCAAAAGCACATGCATACTATATTTTCGATGAATGAATTTTCAAAGAATCTGCTACAAAAAGTTTTATACATTATTTTTGATTTCGATTTGTATTAAAATTCTACATAAAACATAAACATTTCAGTACGGCATTGTTCTTAGAAGTACGTTTAAAAAATTAATTTATCCTTCACCTCACACCAAACATATGCACACGATTTTGTTTTAAAAAAAAAAAAGATCAGGAATATGTCACGCAAATTTTTAGTTTTTGAGTTTTAATTCAGATTAACCAATTAATTTTACTTAAAAAATAAATAATTCCAGTGTGGTAATACGTTTAAAAATAATTACAAACTATTTATTTATCAGGCGTCCTACACGTCACTCATACGCACCATAATACCATTAAATCAAATTTTACCATAATAAAACCGTGTAATTTTTTTTTATATTAATGTATATTGTTGAATTAAAAATTAATCAGTTTTACACTACCTCTACATTATCTAAACTATTCGTCTCCTACAGATGTCAAAGTTTTTAATGTGGTTCTGTTTGGACGAACACATTGTTTATATGTACCAGTTTCAATGATGTTGTTATTAAAGATTTTCACAAATTGTTGATTTACAGTACCAGGATATGTGACGCACGTTCCTAAAAACTTTCTCTACGTGAAAGACTGCATATCATGCGGTATAGGCAATCATTATAGTCATTTATCGACTTAGTAGTGCATGCAAAAGGTGCTTTTATATTTACTCCACAGTAAAGTTTGAGTTTGGAAAGAGTGTACAGCTCCTTCAGATTACTTAAAATAAGCCGTTTGTTATTTGTGTCCTGTTTCCATCAATTTATGCAGACACGCAGTATTTTTTTCCCAGGTATTATTTAACTGTGTTCATGACACTCGAAAAAGTTTAAAATAGCATCAGTTACATGTTTTTCTAGCGGTATATAGCTTTTTGGATTTGGCTTTTCTAAGATACATTTTTCTGTAGGAGTTTCAAATTTAGTAACAATTATTAATTTATTGCAGATCTGAAAAATCATTACTTTAATAAACATTTCTATATTAATATAAGTCATCATTCACATTTCTAGAATTTGAACACATATATATAGAGCTCACAATAAAATACAATAATGCTTGCTAACTGCACCAGTTTAAGGATTTTTTTCTCATTGAATTTTTCTAACGTCTATATTCTTATTTTTGATTGAAACCATAAGTGCAAGATTTTAAACTATATCAAACTATAAACTATATATATAATAAATATTTGAATTTCCTAATACCACAAATTTCATTCAATTTGATTGTTTACTGAGTAGATTTTTAAAGAAAATAACTTTAATAGAATCACACCATAAATAATTCAAATAATCAAACATTATTATTGACTTGACAGCGGCTTGTTCCGGATATCACTGGTTTGCTACTACATCTACTCCTTCTCAACGTACCAACTCGAAATGTACAACAAAAATAGCTAACATAAATTTTTGAAATCCGAAAATCATTAATTCAAATTTATACAAAAAATTCAGTTTGCATTTGAATTTCTTTTGCTTTTTCCAATGCAATGCATATCCTTCTGCAATCATAGAACGCCAAATTGAATCAACAAATCCAGAATTCAAATCATTGCATGCTAAATTTCTAGTATGGATTGCAGAGCGCAAAGGAACAAACACGAAAAAGTGCAGGATACGAGTGTGGCAACAGTGGTAACAGTGGAAAGTGTTGAAATGTTAAATTAAATGCAATAAGGGAAACCTTAAAAACCACTCAATGTAATTGATACTTAAAAGAACAAAAAAAAGTTATTTGCAAATTCAGTAAAAACAAACTAAAAGAACAAAAAAGAACCAAAAAGAACAAAAAACAGAACCTAAAAGAACAATTTTTTTTTCAAATTTTCTAGTTGCATTTTTCTGGTTTGTAATCCGTTTAGTGTAGAAATTTTCTTAACTCGATTTTGTTTTTTGTTTTTCGTGCTAGAAACACATTTTTTCTTGTACAAACAACAGAACACTTTTCAACAGCGAACTAACAAACTTTAATTGCCCTTCTGTAATTCTTTTGCAAATATAACATATGTAACCTTCGTTATCCTTTTGTGACATCAAATGTGGAAAAAAGTAGAAAAATCCTTGAAGTGTCACCGCAAAACCTAAAAACTGATACGATTTTAATGCCTTTGGACAATCCTTTTTGTGTACGATTTTGTACGATTATGGCTGTACGAGTACACTTTGTGCAACCTTTTTGCAAAGGATCAAGGCAAAAGCGCACAAATAAGTCAAAAACAATATATATATAAAATGTAGAAGACCAGTTACTGTACTACGAGTAGCAACTTTAACTTTTTAGAATATCTCTGCCATATTTTAAGGATGTATTTTTTTCACTTGCCTCAGTAACAATTGTAAATAGATGCGTGGTTTTGTGTGGGCGTATCTAGCAAACACGTTCTTTGACCTTATTTTTGCTTGTAGTAGCTTTTTTTTCTTAAATGCTTTCAAAGTATATTTACCTTGGTCTTATGCTATATAGCATATATGTTACCGCTACCTTAATCCTTGAGCTGGTAATGGACATTTTAATGGCCTTTGGTTGGGGAAGGTTAGCTAAAGAGTTTCTGTTTAACTGTTTTTTATTTGTTCTTGTCTTAGTTCAACTCTGCTTTTGTTGGCATCTACAAGTTGTTTAGTTTAAAGTTGTTATCTTGTTGACTGTAAATCTTTTAAGAGTCTTTCTCTTCTCTTATCCCAAATAAGCAATTTAATTTATACGAAAATACTTAAATTTTTAAATATTATGTGTGCTAACAATTCAATTTAAAGAAAGCTGAATGTATAATTCATATGTCTTTACATTTGTTATTGTAAATTGCAAACATTCGGCAATACTTGTGTAAAATAAAAAATGCTAAAGATCTTTTAAACATGTCTATAGATCTAGATTATGATACAAATTAAAATTTATTGACTGATTTATCTTTTTAATTGAAATATTTTTATATAATAAATACTGAACTTCCATCTAATATACTATAAGTTGGAAAGTAAGACTTACAAATATCATGTTTCCACTGCTTACTTAGTAAGTATAATTAATTATGACACAAATTAAAATCTATTGACTGATTTATCTTTTTAATTGAAATATTTTTATATAATAAATCTACTGTATTTTCATCTAATATACTATAAATTGGAAAGTAAGACTTACTAATATCATGTTTCCACTGCTTACTTAGTAAGTATAATTAATTGTGTTGAAGCTATTTAAGCCAGTACGCTTTCTTAACACAAGGTATTTTCAAAACCAAGGCGTAAAACCTTGACTGGATTATTGTTTCTCACTTCATCAGACTAAGCAATAATTGACCTCAGATCTGCATACCATTCTGAGATTTGATAACGCGATGTTAGTAAGTCTCTTAGTTTTGACAAATAATTTCAGAGCTATATCCTTTATGTATTTTGTCATGGGATCAATCCTGAGGTCCCTGAGGATGTCATTCATCCTAATGTACCATGGTACTTTGAAAAGTTTTCTCAGACCCTGGCTTTGTGCAATTTCTGGCTGACGAATAGTAGTGTTTGAAGCTTTGCTAAAATGTAAAATGTTTCTTATAGACACTCAAATCTCTAACAGTTATTAAACAATGGGGCACTCAAAACCTTAAGCCTGGCGCAGACACAACAAGTATCTTCACCACAACATGACATGAAGTATACATGACATGAGTATACACAGTCTTGGTCCATGCCGTTCTGTAGTCCAAGACACAAGATAAATGGTGCGCAGACACAACAAGTGTCTCCTCCACAATATGAAATAAAAGATGAGTATATGCAATCTTGGTTCATGCTGTTCTGTAGTTCAAGATACTATAAGTGATGAATGCGAATTTTTAAATAAAATAAAATAAAATAAATAAAATTTAAAACTAAGTTAAAGCTTTTAATTCATTTTTCTTAATTTTTTTGAAAAGTTAAGTTCAAGTATTTTTGAAAAATAAAATACTTGAAGCTGTAAAAACAATTTTTATTTGATGCTGTTGAGACCTATATTTTTATCTGTTTTTAGTCATATTTTCTTTGTCAAAGTACTAGACAAAAAAATGAAAATAAAGTAAATCTTTTTTAGGCAATTTCTTTTTACAAAAATTTTTGATAGAATAAAAAAGAAATTAAAACAAAATTTTTTTTTTCTTTTTTTCAATTATTTCGTACAAACAACCCTCATCAAAACCCCAACACCGACTACCTTTTTAATATTATTCAAGAAAATCAAATTACGGTCTTTTTTTTCTTTTATAAAAATTTTTCCAACTAATTGACATTTTAAGTATTTAAATAAATTTTCGTGAGTGTTAAAAAAGTTGAGATGAAATATCATCTCACGTTTATCCTGTTTACTCCAGCAAATACCAATGCAAGGGAATCATTTTTATCTCATCAAACTTCAAATAAGAAACTAAAAAAAAAACGAAAACGAATTTCAATTGAACTAAAGACAAAGCGATTTGAAGTGAAATTGTTTTCTTCACAAACGTAGACGAAATAACCTCGTAAATCACTATATAATTCTGGAACAGATAAGAAATTCAATGAAGTTAAACTCAACGTAAGAATAGATATTTTTTTGTGGAAAACATGTTTTGTGGATTTTAAACTGCTGCAGTTTAAATTTAGTTAAAATACTTTTTTATATAAAGGGAATTTAAAGAAAAGTATTTAAACAATTCAATGGATACTTTTAAGCTTATGCAGATGAAAATATAAACATTTTTCGTGAAATGTTTTTATACAGATAGATATAAAATTACAGTTTACAGTTTTACAGTTTTAAATGTTTTATGTAGTCACATTATTTTGCAAGAAATTTCTTAGTTAAACTAAGTCAATATTACACAGATATTTACATTTTTTTTTTCGGTACTTTTATCTTTTATGAAAACCAGCATGATGTCCCTCATGGCAAACATGCGCTAATTCTTGTGAGGCAGCCTAAAGGTAACTTGGTTTGGATATCCACACAGGAGACGACTGCAAATAAACTCACACCCAGTGCAAGTGAAAAAGAAAAGAAATTCGAACCCAGACTAAAAACTTGGAACGACTGCGATTACATTCAGGTAATTAAATGTATTTTTATAAGATTTATTTTTTTAATGTTTTTTTTTTAATTATCCTTTGTATTAATTTTTCAATTTAAATTTGTAATTTATTTTTCATTTTTTTCGTTCTATAAAAATTGGCAATCGTTTTGTACGAAAAGAAAAAGAAAAGAGAAATCGAGAAATAATTATAAAAAAATCTACATAATTGAAATATGTAAATAAATTTTCTTTTTAAATTAAAAGTTTAAAAATACTGTTTAAAAATAAACACAAAAATTTAAAAAAATATTATATTTACTCATATTGATGAAAACATGAAAAAAATAGTTCATACTGTCTGTGTAAGATGACATCAGATTATCTGAATCCGTGCATAAACTTCGAAAGGAATTTTCAGACGATATTTTCTTCAAGAAGTGAATGGAAAAGGACCACTTGCCCAATATATTCCAAATATAGAACCTCTAACTTAATCTGTAGAAACAAATCTGAGGTATCTAGGTTAATATCTGTCTTTACAGAACACTGGTCCACAGGACGGCATGGAGCTAGACTCGGTCTACACGGTGGTGATTCTTATAGTGCGTGTCTACCAGCTCTTGAGGATATGACACCAGAACACCTGATATGTCTTTATACAGGTTTGGCCAGAACTAGTTATAAGTTTCTAGGGACCCCTTCTTCAATTCACTTGACGATATCTCCATCATTAGCATTAGCCAGATTCTTGCCTCTGGCTGGTTTTAGTTTGACCTTCTACCTACTACCCACTACTACGAGGTTTTTGTGGATTCAAAACAGCTTTTTGGCTAATTGAGGAGGACTCGTCCTTCCTCCACCTCAACTAACTAACTAACATTATCTCAATATATACAGATGGCTCAAAAATGAACTGTATGGCAAGAGCAGGAATCTTCGTACCATCTGAAAACATAAATAATTTTCTTATGCTACCTAATGAGGCTATGGTTTTTCGGGCTGAAATTCTAGCAATTAGAGAAACCTATTGGCAAATTGCACGTAACATCGAGGACAGATGTAGTGTTGTCATTGTCATAGACAGCCAGGCAGCAATCAAAGCCCTTGAGTCTTTCACAACAAAATCAAAGATAGTAAAGGAATGTAGAGAATCAATCGACGAGCTAAATCGATTGACTGATATCACCCTCATCTCGGTTCCTAGCCATAGGAACATCGTAGGAAACGAGAAAGCTGACAGTTCAGCTTGCTATGGTGCCTCCCTGGATGTGTCACTGGCGGTACCGGTTTATATCACCCTAGAGACCATTAAGAGAAGTACTTTCTTCTACTTTTTGCAACTTGCCCATGACAGCTGGAAAGCACTTAGGTCATGTGCAATTTTCAGATTAATATGGCCAATCTATAATAAAAATAGATCTTCGGAACTCATCAAAAGAGACTGCGTGAACACTGCAAGGCTTACTGCAGTTATTTCTGGTCATTGGTGTATAGGAATTCACGCAAAGGCCCTGCACATTCCCCATAATCCTTGCTGCAGTAGGTGTGGAAACCCGCAGGAAAAAGAAGCCATAATACATTTTCTCTGTGTATGCCCGGCTTTGGCGGATGGAAGATATAGGTTCTTAGTAAGATATTACTTTGATAGTTTATCAGACTGTTCATCGATAAGAATGTAAGACATTAAATTATCTAAATTCAACGGGATGGATTACGTCTCCACTCTTCTCTACTAGGGTTCTTGTAAGTAATTTGGTAGCAAAACGTCGAAAAATCGTTAATTGAGGTATATAGATGTTATCTATGGATGTTATCTGCCAATACAACCAACCATACTAAATGTATATTTGTGTATTGATATAAAAAAGATTACTCATACGCAGTGTTGGCATTCTGCTTGCACTAATTAAAGCCTTTGAATTGTTTGCTTTGACTTTGAATTTAATTAGCACGAAATGAGGAAAATCCTTATAATTTGTCTTGCAAACATTTAAGGAAATAAACTCGTAAAAAGAATAGGAAAAAAAATAGGCTATTACATCCTTTTATATTGAGACTGTATGTAAAGTTGTCATGTTGCTTTCATTTAAACGAATTTTCTTTGCTTTGCACTTCGTTTTAATTTCATTTTTATTTGACTTTGCTCCTAAAAGGATAATCCGCAAATTATTTTTGCATTAATTTATGTTTCATACCCTAAGATTTTATTTTTCAATTTTTCTTTTATTTCAACTGTTCCAATTATTTGTCATCTTGTATTTTCCTTTCTTATTCCATTTGAACTTCTACGTTTCTTTACTAGTTTTGGTCTGGAATATTTTCAGGATACTTAATTTTGTTTGATTTCGCTTTGCTTTCTTTAGAATTTTCAAAAGTTGCGCAAAAAGAGTAGCAGAATTTCTTATTTTACACTTATTTTATTTGATAACATTTTTTATTTTAACTTTCTTTGTGTTAAAATATGTCCTCAAGGTTTTGTTTCTTATTTTTATTTGCTTTGCTTTTTTATCTGCAAAATAATAAATTGTCATAATTTAATTAGATTGCAAGCGCTTAGAGTTTTTCTTGTCATGTACTGAGTACATGTGCTCTCCACTTCACAACATCGGAAATGATAAAAATGAAGAAATTTCTTTTAATTGTTTGACAGCAAAACACGTTCTTTATTTTTATTATTTCCATTTTTATTATTTTTATTTTCTATTGTCTTAAATTTGTACAAAAAAATACATTGCAGTGTCATGTTTCATTAACTTCACGATGTGTTTAAATGTTAAGTGACAGACAATTCATCTTAAGTACATCTGATTTCATAAGAATTCTCGTAGTATTCAGATAGGTCAAAAACGGTTTTGTACAATATTTACATCACTTTAAAAATAAATGATAAGAAAAGGTACGATATATAAAAAGAACTTATTTTTTAATTGAAAAAAAATAAAAGAAATCATTTTTTGCCAAGAATTTTAAGTTTAAAACATAATTAGGTTATAGTTAGGTTATACCGGCAATACCTAGGGGATCCACTTCGGCCAATTCTGTTACCGTATATATTGGAATAAATCAGGGTTTAAAACTACCTAGAAACTCCAACCAAGCTCAAAATTCTATTGAATGTCAGGTTGTGTAATTGATCAAGATCCTCAAGAAAAAGTGCTCCTGCATGAGCTGAACAAAGACATAGTAGATGAGAGGTACTCTCATCGTCTTCTTTATAGCTGCGACATGTTTGTTTTAAAACAGCTTTAATCTTCTAGCATGGTTTGCAGTGACCTGTAAGTAAGCCTTCCAAAAGACTGATATCTCTACGAGGTATCTCAATGAAAATTTTAAATTTCCTTTTCGCGGAAAGTGGCCAGATTGTATACAGATGCCTGCATATCGCTGAGTCTTTCCAGCTTTTATTAATGTTAATGATATGCACAGAGTACTTAAGGGTTGCGAGTGAGGATCTAAAGCAATCTTTCTGGCCAGCTCGTCTGCTCTGCAATTGCCGAATAGGTCCCTATGACCCGAAACCTAGATTAGAGAAATATTGAGCTGCGTCGACATTTTGTTTAGAGATGTGTAGAAGTCAAAAATCATTCTGGATGTAAATTAGATGCAACATCAGCTGTATTAAGATTAAAAAGAAATGCAAAAGTATAAAATGTAATATTAGGATCCTTTTAAACTTTTAAACAGAAAAAAAATTCTTCTTAAAATTTTTCTTAAGTTTATATTAATTAATTTAATTTAATTTTTTTATTACTTTTTTCTATTGTCTTTACTAACTTAAAAGTATATATGAAATATAAAATTTTACATTATGAATACAAATCTTATTTAAAATTAATTATTTATTATAATATAAATACATTTTTTATATTAATACATTTTTGTTAATATATGTATATATGTGTGTATAGGAAAATGTAAAGTCCAAATGGAAATCAACGGTAACTATTGATCCCACAAATAGTTGTTCACATTTTAGAAAGTTCACAAATATAAAACTATATTTTATTCAAGTAGTTAACTTCCTACCTATCTAATCACATTCACAATATATGGCATTCAAAAAAATTATATAAAATACAACTTGAATAATTATTGTAGAACAATGTGCAATAACTAAATTTAAACAATCTCTATTAGCACCTACACTTACTTTATCCATTTGATTACTTAAGTTTAGTTACTTGAATTAAGTACACCGTTAAATAATATTTTCTTAAATTAACTGTTTTAATGTTTTAAATTAGACTCAACTTTAGCTGCATTAAGAGTAAGATTAAATAAACGGCAAATATTTTTTAGTTTTGGTGAGATCAGAAAGTATAAAGTCATATAGTGGCACTTAATATCAGTTATTAATAAAATCACAAAATTTATTCTCTAAAAGAACTCACCGATACAATAGAAATGTGGTATTGCATATTAAAATATCATACTAAAATCATTTCATACATAACAAGGGAACCTGCTCACTCCTCTCACGCAGGCAGCCACTAATCAACTTTGTTCAAATGTATGAATAAATAAATAATAAATAAATTTATTTATTTTAAATAAATAAAAATAAAAATACCAGCTAACAGCACCAAATAAGCATTTGAAATGAAAAGAAATGAATTTAAAATAATTTTTCAATATATTTTATATGGTTATATATAAACTAATTACTTACAATTATCACATGATATATTTCATAATGATGTTATACAAACAAAACTTTCACGATATCAATTTTTTATATCATATTGGCATTATCAGTTGAACTTCATAAAACTTATTATGTAGAAAAATACATTCATAGTTGTGCTACTTTAATACTAAAAACAGGCCCCGAATTTCAAAAACAATATTGTAAAAAATATTGCGATAGTCTTTCTTTGGATCCAAATTAATTTTTTCCTATTTTAATAATAATAAAATATACCGAGACTAGCTCAAAATAACATAAAATCTTACAAAAAATATATATAAACTTCAATATTAGACTGGATTACACAAAATTTATTTTACACCGTTTTGGATCCAGTGTAATGATTCTGTTTAAGATATTAGTATTCGTTAGGGATGTATACTCTACTCTCTTGTTACTTACCTATCACTTTCATTCTTCATATCCTTAACGTTCCTGATTCTTCTCTTTGAGTATGTACAAATTTTTATCTAGGGGATTTTTAGATACATTAAACCAGTCAACCAATTTTCCTATTCTTTATTTTTTCCACTAAAAGCTACATAACTAGTTAGAAAAAAAACCAATAAACATAATAAAATAAATATAAAGCGTTGAAACTAAAAGATAAGAAATAATATATATGTATACTTGCATTCTGTGACCCTTTGCCCCTCATAGGATCTACGAGAACTAATATATATACTTGCTTTCAGTGTCCCATAGATACATACATATAAAATAGAAAATATGTGTTATATTTTAATAAGTTTAGCAGTCACAAAATATTATTTTAGGACAATTGTTCAGAATTATTTAGAAGCAAGCACAATCATCAGTAATTTGATGTAATATTGGTTTACATTATAAGGTTCCAAAATTCTGTATTTTCTGAACCAGTAGAGATATTGAAATAAAATAAAAATGGGTCAAAAGAAAACCGATCTTAAAAACTATATAAGAAAAATTTCACATCAATATCTCTACTAGTTCAGAAACTACAGAATTTTGATCGGATAATTACTGTTTTCGCAGTGACAAAATGTCTGTTATCTTCTATAAAGTTAAAAAAAAATGTCTCTGACCGATATCGGTGTTTTAGACTATTGATAATTGTAACAAAGGTGTAATGAATGCCACTGTCTTTATTGATAATTTGGATGTCAGAGAATCTACAGTCATGAAACTCAAGACTATTAAGTCGAGTAGACTAGTGCATGTTCTTAAAAACTTCACGTATTACAGTGGTTAGCTGTTCAGAGGTCACGTTGCTTTCGCGATATACCCTAGATTCTCCCACTAGAATGTAGGTACAGTAAGGAAGAAAACAAACCTTTTAAAATTTTGTTGTCGACAGATGACTATGAATTTGATTTTTTATTATGTGATTGTTGAATTGATTGGATCGAAAGATTGATCCAATCAATTCTGATAACAAAAGTTTGAATCTGTTTTTTTATTAAAACATGATCAATTTTGATTTTAGTGGGCACAGATCTGTAGTTTGTACTTTCATTTCACAAGGTGATACCTTTCTTCTAAAAACAAGAAATATCGAATGAAAAGCGGAGGAGGTTTTATTATCAATAATGAACACAACACATTCAATCAAAAAACCTCTAAAATCTCTACAACTGTCTCTCAAATAGATTGATTTATATTTTAAGTGTTAGTCGATTGAATATCTTTCAATTTGATGATTAATATGTCGTCGTGGTTACTTGATTTAACTGAAATTTTCAGTTGTTTTATTTGTACCTATTACCAATTAACCCAAACATTTGTGTATTCAACCGAATTCATCTGCAACAATAGTACCATATCTTTTTTCCTTTTTAAATATTTTTTTTTTAAAACTTTTAAAACAAAGCTTATAATTTTGCTATCATGTGCAATAAATAATTCATACAGAATAGTATTGAAATTTAACAATTAAAAATAAAAATATAATTAATTAACTCAATTATGCTACAACTGGTCTATAATTTCGTTCTAATATAAACACAGCAAATAAATTTGTTAATAAAAACTTTCACAGCAAAAGTAACAAAACTTCAGAAAAATATGCAAACATAAAAGGTCAAGTACGATTGTGGATCAGTTGGTTAAAGTGCGCTGATTCTGAGCTTCACATTTGGCAGAACCCGAGTTCGATTCCTGGTACTTGCAGTCTCAAAAATAATTATTTACGAAGACTTAAATACAAGAATTATTTCCAAGACCACTGATAATAGGTATTTGACAATACTCGAAACAACTGTATGTTCAACAAAAAATTCAATTAATTAAAATAATATAAAATAAATTTTTGTTGTTGTAGTTCACTACTGTTCGAAAAACCCTTTTTACAAAATTTTAATCAAAATCGGTTGATTAGTTTCCACTTATATTTATAATAAACAAATAGACAAAATTCTAGTTTTTGTCTATATGTATTGTGTATATTGTATAATGTAAATTATAATATATTAATTTTGAATAGATATATTTATATAATTATTTCTATCATATATTAATTATTACTTACTTAAAGATATGTGTACATATTTGTTATATGCTTTAGCATATGTGTTTAGATTTATTGTGAGATTAACATAATATTTGATATGTTTTGGTAAAATAGAAAATAATTTAATTCCATCATTAATATTGTATCATTAAATTTTTGAAATGTTTGCAATTTATTGATGAATGAAAATAAATCAAATTTTGGACAATGGACGTACCGTCGTACCAGCACAGCAATTAATCAAAGGAGTTTATTATGTGCATTTGACATGCAATCAAAAAATACTTTATCTAAAAACAAGTTAATTTTTCATATTTAAACAATCGATTAGGAAAGCAACTTGTGGCAAAATTTGAAAATACTCATGAGCTTGAAATACATTAACCAAAAATTCTCTGATTTATTAATGGATTAATGGATGTAGAATATACATCCATGGCCATACTTAACGCTAAAGCACAAATTTGCTTATACATACATAGTTATTCATAGAGAAATGTTGGCAGAACAGCTGTTTCATGATTTGGCCGGAGAAGGAGTTCACTCTTTCAGATTGTGACATTATTCACGCGCATACATTTATTGTACACAATACTACGTATACGGTATGGTATACCCTTTCCTGGAGTAGATTTGGCACTAACACTTCGTTAGCAAAACAACTGCGCTTAAACCACAAACCAAGTATCGCAATGCCCAAATCCTTAAATAGCTGCCAATCGAAAATGAAAATAAATTTGTATGCAGCATCAGATTGTAGCTACACACTTGTGTGTAGATTTACGAGTAAATGGTTGCACGCCTAATCGTGGGCGTTTATACTGAACATGCTAATTCATCATATTCATGAGCATCATTTGCCCTTAAAATGCCATCAAGTGCGAATAAATGTGCTGTGATGGAAGCTTCAGTTCAGTGATGGAAGCTTCAGTATTTTTAAGTGCGGTACACTCCTTCGGCTCGGCTGGCGTATGGCGGGCGCTATGTGTGCACTCTGGCATGATGAGTGTGCTTTTTGCAGCTAAACTAACTGTGCAAACTTTTATATATTTTTAGCCTAACGCCTATATAAATATTTCAACTGAATAGATATTTCTACATATACCATATATTTATTTGTCAAAATAGTGTTTGCGAATATTTGTGTATTTTTTGTTGTTCTTGTCTTTGCAAATATATATACCTAAATATTTTTTTTTAAATTTTTTTTCATCAAACGAATTAGCATTTAAATTGCGGCACGTGCACTCTTAAATCTTTTGCACTTAAAAGTTTTCCATTCGACTACTACAATTTGCTAACATGTTTTTTATCCTGTTATCCTGGCTGGTGCTGGTGCTGGTAATACTTCCGTTTTGCTACTTTTTTTTTCTCCTGCAAAAAAGTCCTCAACGAAATATTTTGTGCAAAGGACATGGCCACAAATATTCTTACCCAAATGCGTGAAGTTTCTACTGGCTTCTTTTTTATTTTTTTTTTTTGATTTGTATCCTTGTATCCTCTAAGTGGAATAAAAAAAATATTTGCGATGTAGAAAAGCGTCGAAAAGTGTTTAAAAGGATTTTTTAGCGCTTTTCAGCAATTTCGTTTGTGCACTCATTATGCGCATAAAAGCATTCGTTGGCTATCTTTTACGCCGCACGTGTGAATAATCGCAGTTGAACAGTTGAACAGTTGAAAAGGAGTTCTTCCATTCTCGAGGCGGGGCCCTGTTTTCAACATTGTCGGCCGGTGGTAGTGGTCTGTACTACAGTACATCAGTT